AGTCCGTGTCGGCGATGGCTCGGCAGGTTGCTTCAACTTTTTCACTTTTTTCGGGCGTTCTTCGTGGCCCTTTCTTTTTTGGCCCTCTCGATCGGCCTCCTTTCCCTTCTTCCCCTTTCGGGACATGCATTCCGGGGAGGGGGGAATTCAGTCGTCTTGGACTAGTCGGGGAGTACGAGCAACAGCCGAACTGCCAACCACTCCAGACTGCTTGGCTTGCTTCACTCGATCAGCCAGCAAATTCTGGACGGCACTACTAGACACCATGATTCCTGCAAAGACGAACAAGTGAACATCAATATGAATTTAGCGCACGGCAAAAATAGGACAGATAACATCCCTATCAAGTCGTTCTCCCACTGAGGAGATTCAACCAAGTTAATTAGAGATCTGGTCGGCAAACGCCGAGGAAGACGAAGCAGTAATTTTAAATCTTCTCGCTCTTCGGCCGAAAACATCTTCTTTGGCACAACATCGTAAGGCCGAGGGGCACGTGTCCAGTAAAACAGAAATAAGCTCCTATCGTCCTCGCCAAAGAAGAAGCGTCGTCTGTTCGGGAGAATTGTCACTCGAAAAAATTCGGCCTTGAAGTTCTTGTAAGAGGAGGTAAAGCTATCCAATAGTTGCCGATCCCCCACTCAGCTTAAAGATAACCACTTTGCCAACGTGGACGGCCTAGACGAGTAGAAATAGCTAGAGAAAAAGAAGTTGAGAGGGCCTAATGCAAAGGCATCGACATAAATGCTTGAAGCCTTGCATTTGAGCCCAGCTGTTCGGATGTACTTGAGTAGGAGCAACGTTCAAAACTCTCAACACACCCATCGTAAACTCGTCAAACGGAAACTTTACCTTGAGATCTCGAAGAAGACAATCATACATATAGAACAACTCCATCTTGGAAGAATGTTGATCTAGAAAAACCATGTCAGGGTTTGGAAAAGCATTGTTTTGGCAAGACCGAACGCCGATGGGATATGGCTCCTCCTTAGCATCGAAAGTCAGACAGTTGGTATACTCCAGAAGGTTAGTAATCATTTTCGTGTCTCGGTAGCGAGAGTAATACGACGTCACCTCCCCGTTCACCCATTCATAGTCAGGCACCTCAAACGGCCCATATTGTTGCCGATTTGAAACACGCCTTGATTTGGGCCGAACCTCAGGACTTCCGCTAGTGGAGGTTTCCCCTGAAGAGGTTGCACTATCATCAGGTCTTTCGGCATGGACTGGGGACAAAACTTCAATGCTTGGATGACTAGAATCACTGGACGATGACCCCCCGGATGACGATGACCGAGAGCTACTAGCCGAAGAGCTTTCGGGAGCGTCAACCATGATATTAAACACTTACCAAGGTTTTGAAGCACAAATGAAATCACTCGGCACACTCGATTCGAGCTCACGATCGTTCGGACAATACACCTCAGCTGAAAGCGATACGCGTGGGAGGCCCTACCACTCATAGCTATATATAGCCAAGAAAAGAGGCGGGAAAATTAAAAAAATTGAAAAGCATAACCGTCCGATTTTCAAGATCCAACGGCTTAGATTGTGCAAACCTTTCGACTTACCCATGGAAATCAGCTTCATCACTATACCCTTGAAGAGGGCTTTTCCTTCTCCAAGGCTGGGGGGCAAGTGTACGGGTAAAAGCACTCGGCCACCGAATGGCCGACACCTGATCGGCCACCAAACAGCCAAACCTGGTAGCCGACACCTGATCGGCTACCGAGTAGCCGAAGTCCCAAGGGCAGTACACCATGGACTCAAGAATTACCCCTAATCAACAATTAAGGGTTAATCACATCAATAAGCCGATTAGGGATGTATTACCTAATACGGTAATCCTAGTGCAGGGCCTAAAGAAATTAGGGCCCATTAATGTCAGTATAAGTAGCTCTTGTCACGAGGTAATGTCACTTTTCATTAATTACTATCGATATCTGTGCTTGTCCTGACTTGAGCGTTGGAGTGCCTTTTGCAGGTACCCTCCCTTTCACCAAAATATTCGATAGGAGCTCTCGTTCGACCCTCAAAGTACGAGAAGATTACTAGTGTGCTCTTCAGACAGGTACAATTGAATTTGGGATAACAAGATATATTCAATGAGTCATCAAATTGGGATACACCAAAACAAAATATTCATTTTTATTCTCCTAAGATTGTTAGTTTTGTTATATTAATATTAAACTTCCTATCTTTGCTTATATGACTCCTCTTTACAATTTATATGAGTGGTATCATGGATCTTTGTTATAAAATATTGTTTGAAACCATATAATTGTGTAAAAAACAACACAATATACAATCAAAATATCCCTAAATCTACCTTGTCGAATTTATCATATATTTTCCTCTTAATTTGAATATGATAATTAACTGGTGAATTCTATTTGTATCAAAATGAATACCGGATTATCTAGTAAATCAATATTTTTCCATGTAATAAAAAAACTAAATTGAGTTAAGTTTTATTTGACAAATTAAGTATCATATTTAATAATTTTTTATTTAGTTAATTTTTCAATAACTAACATATTAATCAAATTATGTCCCTTAATTATAAATCAATTGTTAATATACCACTCCTAATTATATACAATTTTAAATTAATTGTTAATAATAAATAATTAAAATAACTAATTTTTTTTCATACAATTATTATGTTTCATTATATATCACTAAAAAAATCATGTTTTAGCGACCACTAAGATCTGTTGCTATTTAGTGTATTTCGGTCGTTATTACATTCAGCGACCGAATTAGAGACTAAAATATTTCGTCGCTAAAACCTTGGTCGTTATTAATAATAGCGACCGAAGTTGTTTTCGTCGCAAGTTAGCGACCAAATACAGACGTCGCTAGAATTACAAAATCGGTCGCTGTAGTATTGGTCGCCTAGCTTCTAGAGACCAATATTTCTCCTCATATATATATATATATATATATATATATATCATTTAATTTTTAACATTTTATTATGAAAAAGTTAAATGATATGAGGAGAATTATGTGGTCGTTGAAAAAATACCGACATACACAAATCCGAGATATTTGTCGAGCATCATTGGGGTATTGATCCAA